TAAAACACTCTGAGGCTCATTTGATCAAAAGGTGGGAAATACTTGTTTAAATGTTTAAATTATTAAATGTTTTTTAAACGCATGAAGAATTAAGCCATAATATTTTCCCCATTGCTTATTCCATGACAGCTGAAGGCACAATAAACCAGTGAGATCCCAACCCCACCATCTCATTTTGTTTTTTCTGAAAAAGTCCTAGGAGGAATGTTGGAAGTTGCAACAAGGGCCTCCCACACAGCAGCCAAAAGCTCCCGACCCTCTGCAGCAGGCTTCCCCAAAATGGCACATTCACAAGTGTTGGATGACAACTCCTATAATATGGGATTATGGGAATTGTTGTGTGAAAGGGGGGAAAACCAAGAGAAAATGCTGCAGTTTGGGTCAAGAGGCAGTGGACCAGTCATGGTGGTGTACTAGATCTTGAACACGTTAAATCTTGGGCACAGCACATGTAAGTAGTTTAAGGGCAAGCAGAGCAGTTGCAAAGCAGGTGATTATTTCTGTATTCTGAAGCAGAACACAGCCTCATTTGTACAGTCATTGTTTAACAATCTAAGGCGATATTTTAATCCCTGCGTGGGCATATATGGCATTATAAAGCTCAGTAAACCCTTTGTTGTTCTTTAAGTACAGCTCATACTGCCATGCTCACATGTTGGTTATTTCATGGCTTTTTCTCCCATGAGAGACTTAATCTGAAATATTGGTTCTCCTTTGCAGCAAGCAGCATCTTCCAATATTGGACAGTCACAGAATCCTTGATGAAAAATGAAGTCCGTTGGCATATTTGTTCTGAACTGTGTTAGTTTTCTTGAATCTTTGGCAAGGAACATTTTTATTCATTTAAATGACTTAGAATAATCAACAAACAAGTTTATGGGGCCTCCAGGGAGCCTTGCTTAAAGGTTACCACTTTGAGGACAGCCAATTTCAGATTACATTCCTGCTTACTCCTGCCTCCCTGTTTCTCTCTCTCTCCACACCCCCTGTATATGCACACACATAACTGTACTGGATTTATGAACAGAAAGATGTGAGATGTTACTTCCCTCCTAATTGTTGTAAACTGTTCCAAGACGTCTGTGATGGGATGGTAAATAAAAGTTCTAAATAAATAAATATCCTCAGATTTGACTATCTATTCATATATGTTTCCCCCACATACTTTTCCCATTTCAGTGCTACCTAAAATCTAACTTAGCAGTAACACACAAAACTCAGGGGCCTGATATCCTTTTTCATATTGGACACTCCAATATTTCCATCTCAGACTGGGAAGATGACCTCTTTCCTTGTATGCTTGCTACAATTCCAGTAAACTGGATGCTCCGGAAAGGACCCTCCATGTGATAGATGTTGTTGTTCCCAATTCAACATCTATCCTCCATGTGATAGATGTTGAATTGGGAAGCGAGCAGCTTAGATGCAGCTTCTGCAGTGGAAGCTGAGGGGCCCATGCAGGAGAAGTCTAAGAGGATGCCACTGCTAATGCACATTCTCTGCAGAAAAGCAGTGAAGCTGCATATGTCCAAACACCAACTTATGAATGCCTGCACTTGCTCCTCTGACTTGCCACCAACTTTCTCTGCCTCTCTGTGCTTGTGCAATACTTGGACTTATTCCTCAGGCATCTTCTTTCCCTTTCTCTTCCTTTGTCAGGTACTGGAAGGGTGGATGAAGCAACTCTCAGAGCCTCAAAGTTCTTGAGTTTCCTTCCCAAAACTTCAAAGTCTGTTGTGATTTCTTCAAAGCTCTGCTTGACAGTATCATTTGTTCCCCAGTGAATGAGAAGAAAGGAACATGACTTAGTGGCCTTATGAGCACTGGTCACATCCCTTTCCTTTCTCCAGAGAGAGAGCACATCTGGCCAGTCCAGGGGTCTTTGCGACATTCAGGTGTTTCCATTCTATGCATCCGGTGTCTCCTACAGCTGCTCCTCCTCTTTTTTCACTGTTGTAAGCCTCTCGCCTGTTGTTGTATGGGATGCCCCGGAGCTCTTCCGCTTCCCCTCAATTTCACCCTCAGGTACCTGAAAGAGTATCCATAGTTCCACTGCTGCAGAGTATCCTCTAGCTGTTCAGTTACTGTCGACCTTGTCAAGGGAGTTTCCTACATTTCATTTCCCCTGGCCTTACGGTTCTCCTCCTCTACCTCCACTTCTACTGCGTTCTAGCTCCTGTACTTCACTTTGTTGTTGTAGTTCCACTGTTCTGTCTAAGAACATCTTCTCTTATTCCCTCCAGAGTGGACACTTGTTGCTCCGGTACTCTCACTTCTTCTTTTAACAGGGCAACCAGCTCGCGCTGGTTGCATGGGTAGGCCATGTTGATCCCAGGCAAGAAAAGAAACATGGCACAGTCCTTGCAGGACTCTGCCACAGGGAAGTCTTCTTCATCCTTCACCTCCTTACCCTCTTTGATTCTACCTCACTGATTGTATTGAAATGGCCTGTGCTGTGTTTGGTTTTTCCCAAAGGTCAGCAACAGACCCCAACTAGTATATAAGTCTGTTTGACAAGAAATAAAAATGTCAAGGACTTCCTTCTTGGTGTCTCCTGCCGAATGCCACTGCCAAAAGCCTGTTAGCTCTCTCTGTTTGCTTGATCTCATTGCTCACTTTCTGGGAAATTGCTTGCTTGTAGAGCCCTTGACCAGCTGGGGCAGCTTAGGCATCAGGAAACAGAATGTATTTCCCCACCCACACAGCTAGGGCTAAGGATGAGTACAAATCAATCCAAGAATTACAGGAAGTCATTTTGATGGGAATTAATTGGTTTCCAATAGCTAGAAATTTAAATTCTAGTGATTATTTCTGAATTTTTATATATACATATACATCAGCATCTATGTCGTTTAGCATGTTTTCTGCTTGTCCCTTCCTCCCTTTCTCATGATGTTATAGGCAGTCATGTGCACACACATACACACAAACCCCGGCTTGCTTATAATAACAACCAAGAGTACAAGCTGAGCATGGGGTATCACCGAATTATGGATTGTAACTGAATTGTGGGCTGTTGTTACATTGTGTAACAGCAGTCAGTGCTGAATTGTGCCTGTTCAAAATTCATGTGAACTGTGCACTATGGTTTATTTTGGGGCTGTTAACTGTGAACAAGCCAGTGTTCACAATCCAACAACAAACCATCAGTTTTCTTCCTGGACTGTTCATGATTCACAACCCATACTTAACCATAATGTAGGATTCACAAATGAACATAACCGCTGATTCAACAACAACCCATGAATCGATCGCAACTCACAATCAGCCCATACTTTGGCTTGACATGATGTGTGAACCAGTCAAAGTACTCTGAGTTTCCCAGCTCACTGGGAATGAGTACAACTGTATCATTATTATTTTAATTCACATCATATTTATTAGATACTTCCTAATAAGGGAGACTTAAAGTTTCCCATTTTGTAAAAAGATGCCATGTATGTGTAGATAACACATAGCTTGCAAAAAGGAGCACTTCCTCCTGCTTGAAATGTCCATAAGTTTCTCATTGGCTTTTCATAACTTTCAATGATTGCATGTAATATTTTAAACTTAAATTCTTTCATAATCCCATAAATGAATTTAAAGCTTTGAAATCTTTGATATATGCTATGTATAGTTGAGGATGGGGGCATGCACTGCCTCCCATCCCACAGTGGTAGTCAGAGCTGTTGGCACACCTAGCCACCTCCTGTTCTAGAAAGTGAAGCGCAGCCTATATATGGAATAGCCTTTTTATTCAAGCGGCATTTTAACTGTTAATATTATTGGATTTTATCTGGCCAGGGCGGCTTATTTTATACTGTATTGTTGTATTTTTAATTTAATATTTATATTTTTAATTTATATTATAATTATTTTAACTTAGTGATGTAAGCCGCCCCGAGGCTTCGGCGAATGGGGCGGCATAAAAATGTTTTAATAAATAAATAAAAATAAATAGGGGCAGATCCAGTGCATTGCACCTTGGGATTCTTCTACAAAGATTATTCCTCATGTTTGTACTCGAAACCAAGCATGCACTTCTAAGTGAATTAACTTGGAAGGAAGTCTCATTTAAACAGAGAGCTAAAGTGGACAGTTGCGGTGGGTCATTTCACACAGACAAGCTGGCAGTCCAGGAATGAGCGGAAGTTAGAAATACCACTACCTACCGAAGATACTTGGTGTCAAGAAAATCATTAGCTTGGTGCCATTTTAAGACTTTCCTCTGTTCTCAAGCACTGAATAGCATACAATAAGGCTTTATAATTGGTCCTGGGATTGTTAACCATGTTTAACAGTGTTTTTATATTTTTGTATCTTAATTGTTTTATATTATGCTATCATATTGCATTTTCATAATTTTAATCATTATAAACTGCCCAGAGAGCTTTGATTGGGGGCACTGAAGAAATACGATGGATGAGTGAGAACAAATGAATACCACGTCCATGAATGCCAGTGGATGATGCCTTGCTCGACTTCCATGTCCGTAGAATCACTGGAAAATGTGTAATTATGCAACTGATTCTGATCCCATTGACTTCAGTGGCAAACCCCTGCTGACTAGGACGGAAACAAGAACAGGGTCCATCGGTTTAGTCAGTTACAGAGCAGGCTGCACAGGTCCCCACCGTGGGAGGAGAGACCACTTGGTGACCGGAGAGCATATAGCATTAGTTTAACAGTTAAAATGACCACAAGCAACACACGCCATGGGACAGAAAGCTGACACTGTATGTGCCAAAGACCAAATGGAAAAACAAAGTGTTCTCCCTTGGCTGTTTGTACAAAACTAGTTAGCCAATTAAAAATGAACATTTTCATCTTGACCCCGAAACCCACATTCCTGGTAGAAAAGGAATCTGCATTTGTATTTTTTTCTATTCTTTTCTGTATTTAGAGGAAATATCACAGTAGTTTCTGTATCCCTGTAAAATTCTTAGCAGCAGATTTCCCTGAAGATACGTATTTACATAACAACTTTGTTAGCAAATTTTTTTTTTGTCTAAAACAAAAATGTTAACGGCTTAAAGCTGCCATCTCAGCATGTAACTCACTGAGTTTAATGGCATGTATGAGGAAATAGATTGATGGTCAGAAAAATGCTGGATCCAGAATTGTCTGGATCTGGTGTGCAACATCTTTTCTCTGTGTGGTTAATGCACTGGTGTGTCATTGTGTTCTTTTACCCTTTACCTACCCGTGTTTAGCCATTATGGTATTAGCTGGTGTGTCCAGTGTGAGCTCTGAGTATATGCTGTGTTGCAGTGAGAGTGAGGCTAGACATAACTTCTTCTCCTAAGATGTTCTGCTAACCAGGCTTTGTGGGTTGCTATGGGTAACAGGCTAAGCACAAACACCTTCCAGCAATTCATTGCCTAGCTCAAAGGGAAAACACTTAGCTTTTCCATTTCTTTGCCCTATACACATTTGCATCTCTTTGTTCAGACAAGCATCCCCCAGGACTTTTACCACTAGAATCTCTTTCAAGTCTGAATCCAAACAGGGGTTGTAATATACATTGCACAATGGTCGTGCACCATAGAACAAGCACATCTATTGCATCAAAGGAACCCCCTGTCCATCAGTAGCCGCTCTGCACACAAAGCCGGTTGTTTATACACAGTCGCATCCATATTAATAGAGACTCGAATAGAGGGGAGTGAGGCAACCGCATTAAGCAGTCCTTGAAAAATTGGTCTCTTCTGTCACCGTTAAGCAGCAGTCTGGCAGTTTACTCCCCAGCACGCCATTAATTTTCCTTCCCTGCTTTCTTCCTCCCTCCCCCAGTTTCATTATCTATATCAGGTCAATTGAGACTGGCAGCACGTTTATGGATGCATTGATTGCTGAGGCTGCAGGCAAAGGAGGAGCGCGTTCAGTCTACCTACCTCAGTGGCGAACCTTTTGGCGTTGCAATGCCATAGCCTTTGGAATCCAAGTTACCTCCCACCTTCATGGTGTCACATGGCTTTCTCTGCTCAATGTACTCATTCATGGTGGACTCTAGCAGGTAGGCATACTTCCCTTTGGATCTCCTCACACGCTTCATCCCCTCTTCTGTTGTCGGCACGAAAACAGAGGGCTCAGCTGACTTCATGTACGTCCACATCTTCTCAAAAACCGCTATTTTAGATCTCTGTCCAGAATAGCATAAATCCACTGCTCTTAGCATGTGTTCATACACAGAGCAGAGATTCATACACCAAGGAAGACACACGTGTGCTGGGCTGTGTGCCTACGCATTGCATAGCTAAGGGGAGGAAAGTGCTCCTGACTGAGCGGGGCTGGTTCATGGAGGTGAGCGACTGCCTCAGCGTAATCTCTATCAACTATGGCCAGGCATGTGGAGACAGGTGTTGGATGAGTTAGCACTGCACAGATATGTTCCTGCTTCACTTTCTGGGATCATACTGGACCGTTTGATGGAACGAAACAGATGTGGGCCACTCACGGCCCTCCAGATGTTGTGGCCTGCACCACTCATCTTACCTTACCATTGGCTATGCTGGCTAAGGCTGATATAAGTGCGGGCTGTGTGAGGTATATGAAGAAATCACGGTAGCTGAAATGGCACCTTAAGTACCATCTTATTGGTGGAAAGACAGCATAGAAATTGGGCAACTCGATGTTACTTACAGATAAAGATATAGGCCAAATACTAGAAACTATGCTAGAAATACCAGCATAGATCCGAATTACTTGCCTGGTGTGTGTTCATAAATCATTGGCAGAACGCATGGTAGGCAAGGGGTTTCAGAAGCATTGGCTGGGATCGCCAGTCTTTTGTTGTCGTATTTGAAAGGCATGTCTGGGCTGAGGGAGACTTCTCAAGAGCCACTGTGAGGGCTCAAATGGTCTAATTTAGCATTAGACTGCTTCATGTGATCAGCAAGTGCAATTGAACTGTGTCATTTGCACTGTACTCCATAAGTGGAGTGGGCAGACTGGAGAGAACATTAGAAAGAAGTGAGAAATGGGGGACAGGAGACCACTGAAAGGAAGTGCACTTTTGGAGGCCTTGCTCCATAAGCTGCCCTTGTGTGTAACATCAATGTATTTACATATGGTAAATGGTGCCATTAAATTACAGAGCTAACCAAGTACTTATTATTCTCTAAACCTGAGCTGCAAGTCACAGGGTAATTACTTTTGATGCTGCTAAGTGTAATTATTCAGTAATCTGTGGAAGCGTGTAATTACTCCATGTTTCTAGGGTATTTATGGTATCTGGCAGAACCCTGTGTGTGCTGTATTTCCTGGGCCAGCTTGAGACTCTGGCTTTGTACATTGAAGTCAGAACTAATTCCCCTTACCCGAAAGAATTCTTTAGTGGAACCAGCATCCAGAGTCCCATAAGCAATCTCTGTTTGCTTGGCCAGGTCTTCTGCACTCTCTATGGGAGACACCATCCTCTCCACTGTCAAGAAGGCAGCTAGGTTGGCTGTGTAAGAAGAGATGATGATCAAGGTGAAAAACCACCACACTCCGCCAACAATACGTCCAGACAGGGATCTGCAGGGGAAAGGTAACAGAATGAGGGAAGATGAATCAGAGGAGTATAACAGAAAGAACGCACCTCACAGCACTCTGTTTCTGCACAACCCCAGTAAAATACTTTTGGTGGACTTCACCCATGATGTGTTTATCTAGTCCTGCAGGGTTAACATCAGCCAGGTGTCAATCAGTTCCATTCCTTATACTTTAGCATCACATTTCATGATTAAGGCCTCCACCTTATTCATTTATTATACTTATAGTTTGCATTTTCCTGCAAGGAATCGAGTTGCTTACATGCTCCTCCTCTTCATTTTATCCTGAGATACACGTTAGACTGAGCATCAGTGACTGGCTCACCCAGTAAGTTTCATGGCTGAGTGGGGACTGGGACCCAAGTATCCCGAGTCCCAGTCCAACACTGTACATCACACTGGCTCTCCTAGGTGTGCCTAGCATATGGTGGGCTCTGGAAAATTCAGTTGTCCGGTAGCAGCCGTTCCACATAGTAAGCAATTTGGGTGTTACCACTGTAGGCTGCCATTTCTGAGAGTCATGTCTCCATATAAATGACTCACTTCCAGGTATCTCTATACAGCTTTCCAGGAATGACACTTTGTGAGGTGCAAAGCATATCTCATGGTGATGTTTGGTCTGGGTGAAAATGATGTCTGGAGCACCAATAACCAATGAAAGATCAAATAACTTTTGGAATATCTCATATGCAATGACCCTTCTCCAATTGGAGAATTATGTCCACTGTAAGAAGGGTGTAACCCTGGAACAGTGGAATTATGACAGAGCATATGACAGGGGTATAGAAGCTCCAACAAAATGATACTGGACTCCAATTTCCATCAGCCTCAAACGATACAGCTAAGGCTCAAGGATGGTGGCTGTTACAGTCCAGCACCTCCCCCTCCCCTTTTAAGTTATGGGATCTTCATCATGGAATATGATGGAGCTACACGACTCACCTCTGCATTGAAGTATGTGAAGGTCAAATCACTCACCTGTGCAAACAGTTCAGCCCATTTCATGATTAGTTGTAGGGCAGCTTTGGTTACACAAAAAAGCAAAGTAGTAGCATATCACCATCTAGGGCCATTCATAACGTCAGAATTAATGGATCTAACTTCTCCCATTGCCTAATATGTGTGAAATCCTATCCTGTCCTAACTTCTCCAAGTGAAGAATGTATAAAAACCAGCAAAGAAAAGGATTGTGCAACCTGACCATTATACCAAGTGTCTAGATCAAGACCAAGGACAAATATGGTATTTAAAGAGTCCATCTTTGCAATTTGCATGAGAGATAAATGTACCAGCATGTGATATGAACATATGAAAAGCTGCACAAGATCAATCCAGCCTCCCCCTTCCCAGTGGGAAGTCTGCAAGCAGGATATAAGCATGATAGCACCTTTCCACTTGTATTCCCCAGCACTGGTCAGAAGCATACTATATCTTATCCTAGAGGAAATCTACAGCCACCATGGATACTAGTGATTGGTAGCCTTATTATCTTTGAATATGCCGTAGTTCCCCCCTTTGCAGCTGCCAGGTTGGTGGTCATCACTACATGTTGTATCTGGAGAGGGCTAATGCAACATCTACTCAGAAGGAAGTCCTATTCAAATCAGTGGGACTTACTTCTGGGTTTTGGGCTTGCCACCCTAGTGTTGAACCTCTCCCCAGTTTAGACTCAGCTGCAAAGCAAAACTGGAAAGTTAGACCTTGCTGTGGAGAAGAGAAAAAGGCAAATTTTAAATAAGCTGTATTAAATGTGACAATTGACTTGACCCTCAGCTTTTTTTTTCCTAGTCTTTTACGTGGCACTGATATTACTCTCACACAGCTTTTAAATATCATGCAGTCTTGTTTTTATTAAGTTGATCTGAAATCCATTTAGGATAAAATAATTGGTCAGTTGGTTTTGAGAAGCAAGAGAAAGAGATGGCATTTGATACAAAACAGGAAGCATATGTGCTCGGTGCCAAAGCAATCCTGAATCAATCTGCAACTTCATTTTGTTTGAAAGTGTGGAAATGACCAACCAAATGGCAATCCTGTCACTACTGAGTTCCTAGAAGAATGAATGTTATGCAGGATGCACAAATAGCAATCTCAATAAGTGTGGGCCCAGTCAGACAGAGTCAGGAACAGCAATGTGGCCATTTCATTTTCCAAATTTGTGAAGCGAAGGACAGAAAAATATTTGAATCTGTTCATGTCTCTTGAATGGGTCTCTCAGCTTGCTGGGACCCTGACCTTTAAACAGCCTGTTACTGCAAAATCCCGTGTTTCTCTGTAACCTAGCAACTATGCAGTGGTTTTATAATTGAACAACTGATACTTGGTGCCCAGAATTGAAGAACTCAAGAAATTTTAAGATCCTGTACACAATCTTCTATACTTCCACAACCCAGATGCAGAAATCATTCAATTGTCCAAACCTCATTCAAACCTTCTTTTAAGAAGGATGCTCTAGTTCTTCAGCTCTGTGGTTAGGGTGATCACATCTAGGGCAATGGGCAATTGAAGGTCTGAAATATCTTGCAATTTCTGACTGGTGGCATGGTGAGCCAAAATAGGGGACTGCATTTCATGAAACATTTGATGCCAAGGAACATAAAGAAAAGCAAACTGCAAAAGTGTATCAAAATACAGGATAGATAGGCATGTATAGTTCAAATAGGCACAATCCAACCTTTTCTTCTGCCTTTGCTCTTTCCTTATATCCATGCTCAGAATCCCAGGGCCCCTAATGAGTGCTTCCTTCTCCACTAAGTTCTCTGTAAATCTCCTGTCAGACTTCTCCCCATCCCTTCCTGGCTTTCTCATCTTCCCTCTTCCCGCCAGACATCTGCCTGTCAACTGGAAGCACTTGTAAGAAGCACAGAGGACACCAGACAAGAATAACTGGCTTGTGTTTAATACCATCATGTTGGTAGATGAAGGACACTTCAATCTGACAAGCTACATTTCCATGCCAAATCAACACATTCATCTCCAGCTGCAAATTCTGCAGCTTTTCTTCCTTTCGGGAGCCAGGATATTTCTATGACTTAAATCCATTCAGCTGTAGTTAAGTAGATCTCTGCCTTCAAACTACAAAGATGGTTTCCTGATTCTTAATCACTGATTCCCAGAAGGGCAATTACCTGTCTGTTACAGTGACTCATCTTGTCTGATTGTATATTGTTGCAATTACATGAGATGTGGGGAATCTTTGGACAGTTGGCCATGGCTTATTATTTTGAAAAATTCCGCATACATAAATGTTCTGATAAGTTCAGACAGTCCCTAAGTTATGAGCAAGTTCTGTTCCTGAGGAAATGGAAATTCGTCCTTAAGTTGGATCATGTATTAATTTGCATAACATAAGTGATAGCATGTATAGTTGACCCTCCACATTTGTGAGGGTTAGGAATGCAGGATCCTGTGAAAGTGGAAAAATTAAAAATATCTCTAGCCTCCTCAACCCCACCCAAAATCACCAGGGCCTCCTCTTTGCAGCAAGGAAATGCCATAGAGATTGCCTTCTTTGGACGGGCAGGGCAGGTATGTGTGCTTTGGAGGCCTCCCTCTCTAGCCTTTCACATCTCTCTCTCTCTCATTCTCTATCTTCTCCCCCCAATGATTTTCCACAGTAATTATTTAAATTAATAGGCTTTGTGGCAGTTTGTTTGTAAGTAGGGGTTGTTTGTAACTCAGATGTTTGTAACTTGGGGACTGCCTGTATGTCAATAGTTTCCCCTGTTCAGAGCTAAATGAATACATAGAATAAATTTTCAATTAAATGAAAACTTTTCAGCGTTGCAGTCAAAAACTGTAGAAAAGGAAGGAACACCATCCAAACTGGAAGAAAGGTAAGAAATTGAGATGGGTGGTCTAAGACACTGAATTGAAGACAACCCATCCCACCCCAGGACCAGACTTGATGAGGGTAAAGGAGAGAGGGAGAGAGGTAATGCACTTTAAGCATCATGCACACACTTGAAGGATTTGGTGAGGGAAGCAAGACTGATGGATAGAAGTCAGGCTTCAGATGAGATAAATCCTATGCAGAAAATTCAGATCAGGAATGTGGAACAAGGAGACAATGATCTAGTTTGCTTAATCACAGAGGGGAAAATAGACCATGGTGACTGATGTCCTTACTGCCCATTGTGGGGTAGGGTGTGGGATCTGTGTAAGTAATCATGGTGGCATGGCTTGCCATCTTATATGGACCTGGCAAGGGTGGTTTGTTGCTATGGTTCTGTAAAACTCCCTTGCTTTAGAACCCTAAAATTGAACCTGGGTTTTGGGTGCAGTAACAATCCACCATTGCTAGACTCACAGGACAATGGCAAAGATAATTGTACACCCCCCTTCAGCACATGATCAGCATGCACAGTGATCATGCACACATGCCCAGTGTGTTTGGGATATATCTGGGTCAAATTCAGTTGGCACTATTGATGGTTCTGAGGTCATTCCTTTTCTTTTCCCTGTATTAATAGATTGCTGTTGTTTGCTCCTTGGGAAACAAAGAGCTTTGCATCTGAGGATACTGTAAGAGTGTTAGAGCTGCCACGCAGGGTCAGACCCATGCCAGCACTCTTTTCCAACAGTGGCCAAGCTGCTGCCTGTGGGAACCTCACCTGAAGGACACAAGTGCAGTGATGCCCTCCCGCCTGTGTTCACCAGTAACAAGAACACATAGCACACTGCCCTTTGTTCTGGAGGTGGCACATAGCCATCCGGACTAGTAGCCATGAACAGCCTGATGCTCCATGCAGTGGAAATGCTAATATGAATGTTAATATATGAACTGATCATGCCTGGACACCATGACAGCAAGTTGCATGCAAGTGTGAATGCTTGAACATAGGGGTTCTTCCCGTACTGCCACCAACATACTCAGTCACAGCCATGGGGGCACTTGCTGGGAATATTATAGTTTCTGCCATGGAGGCCCCACCATTAACAGAATAGCATGTTGCTTTCCTCTGCTTACACCACACTGAAGTT